ATATATATGTATATGTATATGTATATGTAATATACATATCTGTATATACACATACATGATGGTGAAGGAGAGAGGAATGGTGGAATTAGCTAGTCTGAAAGATAATCACCAATGTGCACACACTGCAGCAATTACAAAGTTATTTAGTATAGTCTTCCATAACATTTCCAATAGTGACACTAAATCTAAAAACAGGAACAATAACTGGAATAACTTATTTTTTGAATACTTTGAAAAAACTAATACCCTCATTTTTAAATATGAAGGCTTAGGATATTTAGAAGGCTCTATTTTTATATTGTGAAATACTTGTATTATATATATATACACACACACATATATATATACATATACACACACATACATACATTCTACATTATCATGTATGTACATAATGAATACATTACTATAATCATTTATGTATACACAGAAAGATATAACATTTACTCCATCTTTTAGTGTCTAATTTAAATCTCTATTTTCTTTCCCATAAAAATCCTAGTTGGTTGCATCTCACAAATTGAAAAGTAGCAAACTTCCATTTTACTTATATGTAGGACATGAATATACATTTACCTATTTAATATTGAAATCTGTGGTGAATACATTTCAAAGAGTAAGTATTTTACACAAAGTGGCACTACTTTCTGACCATATTACCTGTCCTCCATCTCTGATATTTAAACAGTCTTTCTATTATTAATTATACAAATTGGTCCCTGACAAAAACTATGTAGATTTACAGAATAGGTGAATTATTCTGTTTCAAGAAAAGAATTCCAAATGGGAACTGAAAATACCTTTAATTTAAAATATGTATTCTTTCCAAATAAGGTCATGCAATTAACCATGTTTTTCCATTCATTTTTTTTCATCATACTAAAGTAAAGGTTTTAGGTGGGAAAATAATTGGTACAGGTTGGGCATTTTGAAAATATGTTATTAGACAAATGTATAAGAATTCCACATCTCTTAAGATGATTAAAGAACATACACACAAACTTACAAATTGTGAATGAAATGATCAAGTCATTGAAAGATCTCTTCACATAATTCTGAAATAGCTCATAAATACAAGAGAAATAGTTGACTTAGTATTGATTTTCTGCAAAAAGAAAAGAAATGACAAAAATTCAACTACTTTCCAAATGTTGGAATCAATAAAAACAGAAGCCTATTAGGATAGGGGACATCATTATTTTAGTAACTCTACCTACACAAAGTTTGCTTTCATTGGGAATCAAATCAGAATTAACCTCATAATTTCTGCAGGAGGGAGAGTGATTCACTCATAAACTACTGTCTATGTCAGCTTATGTGTTAGCATTACGTAAGCTAACAACAACTACCATTTCTATTGTACCTTAGAAGGTGCTCTCACTCCCTGTGTCCTATTTGTTCTTCTAACTACCCTATGTTCTCCATGAGGCAGAGTCAATGACATATTCATCCATGTAGAGAATGCCAGAGGTGAACGCCATACGGAAGGGACACAAACAATGAGGAACACAGTTAGAAATCACTTTTCAGTCTCCCCAAACCTCAGCAGTAAAGATGGGAGAATGGCTCCCCTTCCTGAGGTTGAGAATCAGAGTCCTTGAACAGAGGCAGCTGGACTAGAGGTCTCAAACCTCTTCAAATTAAGTGGCCTGTGCCTCTAATACACATTTATATAATAAGTTAATTAATACACCCCCCCACACACACATATACATTCACCTGATTATACTTGTATTACCAACTAATTCACTGCAGTACGAAAAGTACCAATTTTTGGTCCAAGAGAAATGATAGGAAAACTACAATCTACTGACCGAAGAACCAGGGAGATAATAATATAAATTTTTTAAAGTTGAGATCATCTTATAACATATTTTGATGCATTACACCTTATTAGAGATATATATACACAGTTCATACCTTTAAGTTTCTATATGTATTTATTATATTGTATGATATTAACATTATACATTATAAACAATTTTACTTGTATATTTATTGTCTAATATTTGTCTATATATATTTATCTGTATGTCTATTTTGAAATGTCTATTACCTATTGTCAATAAATATTGATAGGATCTTGCCGATTTCAGCTTCCTTTGATCTATATTAGTGGATTTAAATGGTTTATACTGAACTATCCTAATACAGAGAATGAATGGGTCTAATGAGGCAGATGAGTATGGTAAACTTTGATTCATTTTGATTAAATTAATAAAACTTCTTTCTTCTATTAGTTCTAGGAGTCCCAATTCCTAAAATTACTGGTTCTAGTAAAGTCCTGTTTATCTATTGGTTTTCAGAAAGGTGTTTGCAAGCTAAATAGCTCAATGGTGAAACTAACCTTAACCCTTCACCAAACTACAGAAATGAAAGATCACAGCAATGAGCAAAAGTCGTGCTAGTATACTTATTCAATTCACTCTGTAATTCCAACGGAACCTTTGCGCATCTTCGGAATCCCAAGAGGCATTACGTCGCTAAGAGTCTTTCCACTCTTAAAAACAAGCAATTCCTGTGACTTGTGTGGCCAACAACCGGTTTCCCAAAGCCTGGTTAACGAGGGCACGGGGGTAGGGGGTAGGTGGGGTGGTAGAGGTGGCGAGGATCTCGGGTTCCCGAGCCATCTACACTCCCCGGGGCCCCGGCTCACCTGGCTCCTGAAAGAAGGGGTCGGTGTCCACTGTTCTCCTGGATCCCGAGCTCGCGGACCACGAGAGATGCGCCCTGAGCGCGTTGCTCCTCACACTCCCAGCTCCGGGCCGGCAGCGACACAGTGCACCGTCTCGGTGCAGGACCCGGCGGCCCTACAGGGGGCGAGGAGGAGCCGCCGTGGGTTCAGGGGCAGGGAACCCCGGGACCCCAGCCGGGTGAGCAGAGGCCGAGCTCCCTAAGGATCTGCCAGAGGCAGAGCG